TTCGATTATGTTCCTGCTATAAGTGCTTTTACAATTCGTATTTGTATCCACCTAATTCCCATTCATTTTTCATTGTGCCTCACCTCACTTCACACCTCTCTCTCTCTCTCTCTCTCTCTCTCTCTCTCTCTCTCTCTCTCTCTCTCTCTCTCTCTCTCTCTCTCTCTCTCTCTCTCTCTCTCTCTCTCCTGCCTATATATATGTCCAATACTTGTAAATCATTCTTATTCCTTCTGAAGATGTACTATTAAATACGAAAGTACTCAAGGAAATTCCTGTTTCAATTCTTCCTTCGTGGTCTGACACTGTCACATTTTTCATCAGGTGTTAATTTTCGTGATTTACACACATAATATATGTATATATATGTATATCAATATTTTTGGAAACAGTCTTTTTTGTATTGCTCTATGTTAGGGAATATGACAGAGTTAGATCTATGATTCTAGCACGAATCTTCTCTATATTTCTTATGATCATCTTCACTCGACATGAAAGTTGAATAACTAACTCTCCAAAACTCGTTTTGTAATTGTTGTGTGACTAACGTGTGTCACTAAGGACGTGTGTCATTGAACATCTCTTCAAGATCTACGGAGGCTGAGGGAAAGTAGATACATAGTAACATTGGAGTACATTATATTCACCAATACAGAACGAGGTGAAGTAAGATATTACACGGTCAGTGTTGGCTGGGGCAGTAGGTGTGGTGTGTGGTGGAAGGTCTCTTTCTTGGTTTACAGGAGAGGTATATAAGGTCTACCGAGATTCAGCTGACCGTTGACAGTCACATGAGAAGTAATGCTTGCTATACAGTGCCTCGGTTATGTCTAATCTTCTACTATTGTGTCAGTCGATTATTTCGGCGTTGTTGGTCAAGATTCTTGTAGCGATGATCTGGTTCTGAGTATACAAATGATATGATTTTTGACGGTCTTGTTGATTGCAAATTGTCAAGTATTGTGCCAACAGCAGGCTGTATCAGAGACCACATCGTGTCCAGAAGCAACCCGACCATCGCCACACATACCCTCACCAACACCACCGAAATAATCAACGAAGCGGCTCGCCCCCCGTCCCTCTCCTGCCTCCCGCAGGTACATGTGTGTGTGTGTGTGTGGGAGGGGGACGAGAGGGAAGGGTTGGGGGTCGCCAGGTAAGCGGGTGGTCGGCAGGAACATTGTGGTGGACGAGCTAAATAGAGCCCTGTGTGCTCCCAGGGGCCCCTTCGCTATATATGGTCCTCCCCCACCCCACCCTCCCTCGCCCACACTCTCATCTTCACTTACCAGTTTTCTCACATCTACCCAAACATGACCGAAAGAATTAGGTCAGTGATTCTGGCATAATCTTCTACATTTCTTCGCTTCTTCTTCACCAGTCTCAGGCCTGACGTGTTTTGCTGTCAGAGTAAAGCGTAAATAAACACTTACAAATACCATTAAAAAGTCCATTAGGTTGTGCTGAGCGAAGAGAGTGAGAGAGAGTGACCCCTCTTAAGAGTTTAAGGTAATCGCGTCTTGTATTCTAACTGGTCGGCTCGTGTGATGGGAATAGAGCTTCAACTGGCAGATCTATATTGGTGAAGCTCATGTAGGATTGAATCGAGACATGAGCTACCTGTTAATAATTGACTAAAGGTGTTTGATGTGTAGTGCTTCGGCTTTGTCCTGCACTTTCAGTTCAGGTCTCGGCTCACTGGGTGTTGCTGATCACACCGTCACTCGAAATCACGATCAGTAATATGGCAATAATCGACTGATATCGCTCATGTTCAGGGATCCCAGTAGCAAATATAGTTCCACTTGAATCGACCTTTAGTAATTATACTTTGGAAGCATATGTTGTAGGGATATTGTTCCCTAAGAAACATGGATGACTAAACACACTCGGGCTAGTGTCATATTTTATCCACCACAGAGCCTCTATACCCTAGGGTCATCCACCACAGAGTCTCTATACCCTGTGTCATCCACCACAGAGCCTCTATACCCTGTGTCATCCACCACAGAGCCTCTATACCCTGGGTCATCCACCACAGAGCCTCTATACCCTGTGTCATCCACCACAGAGTCTCTATACCCTGTCTATACCCTGGATCATCCACCACAGAGCCTCTATACTCATCCACCACAGAGCCTCTATACCCTGGGTCATCCACCACAGAGCCTCTATACCCTGGGTCATCCACCACAGAGCCTCTATACCCTGGGTCATCCACCACAGAGCCTCTATACCCTGGGTCATCCACCACAGAGCCTCTATACCCTGGGTCATCCACCACAGAGCCTCTATACCCTGGGTCATCCACCACAGAGCCTCTATACCCTGTGTCATCCACCACAGAGCCTCTATACCCTGTGTCATCCACCACAGAGCCTCTATACCCTGTGTCATCCACCACAGAGCCTCTATACCCTGTGTCATCCACCACAGAGTCTCTATACCCTGTGTCATCCACCACAGAGCCTCTATACCCTGGGTCATCCACCACAGAGCCTCTATACCCTGTGTCATCCACCACAGAGCCTCTATACCCTGGGTCATCCACCACAGAGCCTCCACACACCCAGTATTAGCCTCACAAAAAGTATCGGGTTAAGTATTCCTGCATTTTTGTTTATCATTTTTAACGAAGCGTTTGGAGGCGGTGATTGGTTAAGACAGTTCTATCGCAGAGTGGTGGTCGCCCTGGACGGCTCCATAACACCAGTTATCAATATACTCATAATTAACATAATGGATGACATGTAAGAGGGGCAATTTTTCCCCATTTCTTTAAAAAGTGGTAAATTGTGTTTTTCTCTAAACATTTAAACGTCAATAAATTAGCATAGTTTCAGACTTTTTGATCATTTAAAGTAGAGTTTATTACAAAGTTTGGGAATTAGTGACAAAATTTAACTAAACTTTTGCAGGCTGAAGTTTTCTGCTCACCGAAGCTGTAGAGGGAGACAAGAGGAGAGACACCAGAACTATCCCTCCCTTCGAGCCTAAATTATCGGTCCCTACACGCCTGAACTATCCCTCCCTACACACACACCCGACCACTCCCTCGCTACACCACCATACTATCCATCCCCGCACACCTGAATCATCCCTCCTCGGAGGGAGGGGTCATCATACCATCAAACAACCGCTGGTCTCTTGTCACTAATGCTGAAAACGGGAGTAACATTTCCGGAGAGTTTCCTGTGGCCAGGAACACCCCCCCCCCCCCCCCCCGTCCGGGGTCGACGAACCCTCCTGCCAGATGGGGGCCGTTTAGTATTACTAAAGTGAATGCTGCCTTATTCACTCTCGTGTTCTTCACGATAGTGAATACTAATATTCATTAGTATTCATCTAAATACATCTATCATACATCATAATACATCTAAAGCTAGCCAGTGCAGACCACAGATCACATGGCCCTGTATGACTAACCATCCTGTGTGACGAGGATTTTTAACATCACGTAACTAGTTCTTGAAACATTTTTTAGTGTTCGTATTAAGACATTTAGGCACATGTGTATATGTGCAGCTGCCCTCGACTACAGGAAGAGGGAGTCCGGTGTGTGTCAAGAGCTCCGTGATGCTAAACGTCCCCATCATCCAGGATTTCTTGTAAATCGTTTCCAGTGGTCTTTTGAGCTCTATGACGCCCTCGGGACGGATGATTTTGTTTTATTCGCGAGCTTCACCACCATCACCATCACCACCACCATCACCACCACCACCACCATCACCACCACCATCACCACCACCATCACCACCACCATCACCACCACCATCACCACCTCTGCTGCCACGTCTATATTGCTCATGTTGGCTAGCTGTGCTTTCTTCCAGGTGCTTGGAAATAATTCCGGCTCACTTGGGAAAACTTCTTGAAATATTTTGCCAAGTACATCTTTCTTGTGCCTTTTCCTTGCGTGTCTTCCTTGGCTCAGCCTTGACACTTGCGGCCCGTTCACCGAATGGTCGTATTGGAGCCCTTAATGTTGTTATTGTCATGTTGTTCCTTACACTCCCGTCTCGCTCTGGCCTACTCATTCCTCGTCCTGTTATAGCGCCTTATTTCTCCTGTGTCCTCCTGTCTCTGTGTCTTTATTTAGCTCCAGTCTCTTGCATCGAGGCTCATTGAAGTGAACCATGGGATTTTTTCCTACTATTTTATGTTTCTCAGTATTAGCATGTCTCTCTCCTTAGCTGCCCAGCATATCTCTCTCTTTCTCCCTCTCTCTCCCTCACCGTGTGGGAGGGCCCCCCTCACCGTGTGGGAGGGCCCCCCTCACCGTGTGGGAGGGGCCCCCCCTCACCGTGTGGGAGGGCCCCCCCCACTCACCGTGTGGGAGGGTCCCCCCTCTCACCGTGTGGGAGGGTCCCCCCCTCTCACCGTGTGGGAGGGTCCCCCCTCTCACCGTGTGGGAGGGTCCCCCCCTCACCGTGTGGGAGGGGCCCCCCTCACCGTGTGGGAGGGCCCCCCCACTCACCGTGTGGGAGGGTCCCCCCTCTCACCGTGTGGGAGGGTCCCCCCCTCTCACCGTGTGGGAGGGTCCCCCTCTCACCGTGTGGGAGGGCCCCCCCCCCCTCACTGTGTGGGAGGCCCCCCCCCACTCACCGTGTGGGAGGGCCCCCCCCCTCACCGTGTGGGAGGCCCCCCCCTCACTGTGTGGGAGGCCCCCCCCCCACTCACCGTGTGGGAGGGCCCCCCCCCCCTCACCGTGTGGGAGGCCCCCCCCCCTCACCAATACACCTACACATACAATGACCAACAACGTGACGTCAACAGAGAGCAAGGTGGTGGGGGGGAAGGAAGGCGGTGTGAGTGACGTCACCACCACCCACCACCAGCCGCCCACCACCAGCCGCCCACTTGCTAGTTGCCATGGTAACGCGCGGGTGGTGGGCGGTGAGGGGTCACTACAGGAGTACCAAGGCCTCAGGGAGTGTCAGCCCCTAGACCCGTCACTATGGACCCTAGACCCGTCACTATGGCCCCCTAGACCCGTCACTATGGCCCCTAGACCCGTCACTATGGCCCCTAGACCCGTCACCATGGTCCCTAGACCCGTCACCATGATCCCTAGACCAGTCACTATGGACCCTAGACCCGTCACTATGGACCCTAGACCCGTCACTATGGACCCTAGACCCGTCACTATGGCCCCTAGACCCGTCACCATGGTCCCTAGACCCGTCACTATGGACCCTAGACCCGTCACTATGGACCCTAGACCCATCACTATGGCCCCTAGACCCATCACTATGGCCCCTAGACCCGTCACTATGGACCCTAGACCCGTCACTATGGACCCTAGACCCGTCACTATGGACCCTAGACACGTCACTTGAAACTAAAATTGTGAGGAAGAAAAGTAGTAAAAAAAACCATGAGGAGAGAAGGAACTTGTAGCACACCACAAGCAAGGTTCAGGGATGATAAATCTTACCCTCGCGGGTTTAACAGAATTCCAAGACCAGGCGACACAAGTTAGGCACGAAAGGGATGTCTGCACAGAGTGCATATGTTGGCATTTCCAGAAAGCCTTTGACACAGTAACCCCACCAGAGACTATAGAGTAAGTTGGAGAAGCAGACAGGCGTGACAGGGAAGGTATTCCAGTGGATAAGAAAGTGCTTAAGCAACAGAATATCTTCAGAGTCACTGTGAGGGGGGGACAGGTCTCAGTGGCGAGGTGTCACTTGTGGAGTACTACAGGTGAGTGGGACTCCACTCACAGGTGAGTGGGACTTCACTCACAGGTGAGTACAGGGTTTTGTTCTTTGACCTGACCTGCTTTCATATATGTAAACGATATTCTAGAGGGAAATAGGCTCATTCCTTTTAGTGTTTGCTAATAACATGAAAATTATGAGGATTAAGACAGACGAAGACCGCAAAAACACTACAAAATGACCTGGACAAAGTATGGCCTGTCAAAGGCCTAAACTAGAATTTAATTCAAGCAAATGTAAACAAAATTGACGAGGTGGAGGGAGCAGGAGGCCAGACACAAGGTATCAAATGGTAGATGAAATCCTCCATGAAACGAATAGAGAAGGATCTAGAAATTGATATCACACCGAAACAGTTACCTGGAGGCCACGTCGAAAGCATGTCATCAGCGTCATATGCAGGAACAGTTATCAGAACTACCTTTACAAATTTGAGTTAGGAGTCACTTAAGACCCTTGTATACCACATATGTCAGACCAATCCTGGAGTATGCGGCTCCAGCATGGAGTCCATACCTAGTCAAGCACAGGACGAAGTTCAAAGGTATTTCACTTGACCAGTCCCAGAATTACAAGGAATGAGTTCGGGAATTCAACCTTACGTCGCTGAAGGACAGAAGTGTTCAGGACGCGTGATTACAACATACAAAATTATCTTGAGAATCGGTAGGATAGATAAAGACAGACTGATTAACACGGGTGGTGCTCACACAAGCGGACACAAGGTGGAAACTCAGTACCCAAATGAGTCACTGAAACATTAGAAAGAATTTTGTCACTGTCAGAGTAGTTAATAAATGGCATACACAGTTTCAAATGCAGATATAATACGAGCCCAATAGGTTCAGGAACCAGTACACCAGATAATTGACAGTCGAGAGGCGGGACCAAACGGACAAAGCTAAACACCCGCAAGCACAATTAGGTGTGTGTGTGCAATTAGGTGAGTACAATGTGAACTCACGCGTAAACTTATTCCTGGAAAACGCTTGTTCAAGTCACCTCATTGCCTAGAATGATTTCCTTACTGGTATCATACTGGTGGGTATCATACTGGTGGGTATCATACTGGTGGGTATCATACTGGTGGGTATCATACTGGTGGGTATCATACTGGTGGGTATCATACTGGTGGGTATCATACTGGAAGGCAAGTATCACCACCTTCCCCACCACCTACCCCACCACCTCCCCATTCCCCTAGGTGTCTCCACAGCCACTACCTTAATCATCATTATCAAATCACCCCAACAACCCCCCCCCCTCCTAACCCCACCTTCTCTCCATTTGCACAGGTGCTCCCCTACCACTCGTTAATGGTGGGGGCGCCTCCATTAGTGTGCCGCTCGCCCCCTGTCCCTGAGGTACGTGTGTGTGCCTGTGCGTCTGCGTGCGTGTGTGTGTGTGTGTGTGTGTGTGTGTGTGTGTGTGTGTGTGTGTGTGTGTGTGTGTGTGTGTGTGTGTGTGTGTGTGTGTGTGTGAAGACTCACGTAAGACTCGCCAGTAAACCATTCGTTAAAGAGCCGGACTGTCCACGCCAGCTGTCTCTCTCATACTTCCGTTATTTACCCGAATTTACCCGAGGACCACGACGTCTCTCTAGTGGCTGCGACGGAGACGGGTACCCCGCGGCTTCTTCAACGTCCTCCCATTTTTCTTGAGAATTTTTTTTCCAACTGGATTTGGAACAAGAGTAATTAATGCCTCGTCATTTACAGCTTCGTCGGGTAGGCGGTTCCATAGCTTTATAACCCCTAGGGCCGTGACAAAGCATCTCCAGCTTTTGTAATAAGATAATAATAATAATAATGTGAAGAAAAGAAGAAGAGAGAAGGACGATTAAACTCCGCTGTTAACATAAACTTACACGAACAGTTGGCTTGATCCGTGTGACAATAAAGGATAGAAAACATCTGTGAAAAGTAGGCGGAGCTGGTGGGTATGATCACAGGGGGAACTGGTGGGTATGACCACAGGGGGAACTGGTGGGTATGACCACAGGGGGAACTGGTGGGTATGATCACAGGGGGAACTGGTGGGTATGACCACAGGGGGAACTGGTGGGTATGACCACAGGGGGAACTGGTGGGTATGACCACAGGGGGAACTGGTGGGTATGACCACAGGGGGAACTGGTGGGTATGACCACAGGGGGAACTGGTGGGTATGACTACAGGGGAGCTGGTGGGTATGAACACAGGGGAGCTGGTGGGTATGACCACAGGGGGAACTGGTGGGTATGACCACAGGGGGAACTGGTGGGTATGACCACAGGGGGAACTGGTGGGTATGACCACAGGGGGAGCTGGTGGGTATGACCACAGGGGGAACTGGTGGGTATGACTACAGGGGAGCTGGTGGGTATGAACACAGGGGAGCTGGTGGGTATGACCTCAGGGGGAACTGGTGGGTATGACCACAGGGGGAACTGGTGGGTATGACCACAGGGGGAACTGGTGGGTATGACCACAGGGGGAGCTGGTGGGTATGACCACAGGGGGAACTGGTGGGTATGACCACAGGGGGAACTGGTGGGTATGACCACAGGGGGAACTGGTGGGTATGACCACAGGGGGAACTGGTGGGTATGACCACAGGGGGAACTGGTGGGTATGACCACAGGGGGAACTGGTGGGTATGACCACAGGGGGAACTGGTGGGTATGACCACAGGGGGAACTGGTGGGTATGACCACAGGGGAGCTGGTGGGTATGACCACAGGGGAGCTGGTGGGTATGAACACAGGGGAGCTGGAGGGTATGAACACAGGGGAGCTGGTGGGTATGAACACAGGGGAGCTGGTGGGTATGAACACAGGGGAGCTGGAGGGTATGACCACAGGGGAGCTGGTGGGTATGAACACAGGGGGAACTGGTGGGTATGACCACAGGGGGAACTGGTGGGTATGACCACAGGGGGAACTGGTGGGTATGACCACAGGGGGGGCTGGTGGGTATGACCACAGGGGGAACTGGTGGGTATGACCACAGGGGAGCTGGTGGGTATGAACACAGGGGAGCTGGTGGGTATGAACACAGGGGAGCTGGTGGGTATGAACACAGGGGAGCTGGAGGGTATGACCACAGGGGAGCTGGTGGGTATGACCACAGGGGGAACTGGTGGGTATGACCACAGGGGGAACTGGTGGGTATGACCACAGGGGGAACTGGTGGGTATGACCACAGGGGGGGCTGGTGGGTATGACCACAGGGGGAACTGGTGGGTATGACCACAGGGGGAACTGGTGGGTATGACCACAGGGGGAACTGGTGGGTATGACCACAGGGGGAACTGGTGGGTATGACCACAGGGGGAACTGGTGGGTATGACCACAGGGGGAACTGGTGGGTATGACCACAGGGGGAACTGGTGGGTATGACCACAGGGGGAACTGGTGGGTATGACCACAGGGGGAACTGGTGGGTATGACCACAGGGGGAACTGGTGGGTATGACCACAGGGGGAAACTGGTGGTATGACATGACCACAGGGGGAACTGGTGGGTATGACCACAGGGGGAACTGGTGGGTATGACCACAGGGGGAACTGGTGGGTATGACCACAGGGGAGCTGGTGGGTATGAACACAGGGGAGCTGGTGGGTATGACCACAGGGGGAACTGGTGGGTATGACCACAGGGGGAACTGGTGGGTATGAACACAGGGGAACTGGTGGGTATGAACACAGGGGAGCTGGTGGGTATGACCACAGGGGAAACTGGTGGGTATGAACACAGGGGAACTGGTGGGTATGAACACAGGGGAGCTGGTGGGTATGACCACAGGGGGAACTGGTGGGTATGAACACAGGGGAGCTGGTGGGTATGACCACAGGGGGAACTGGTGGGTATGAACACAGGGGGGCTGGTGGGTATGAACACAGGGGAGCTGGTGGGTATGAACACAGGGGAGCTGGTGGGTATGAACACAGGGGAGCTGGAGGGTATGAACACAGGGGAGCAGGTGGGTATGAACACAGGGTAGCTGGTGGGTATGAACACAGGGGAGCTGGAGGGTATGAACACAGGGGAGCTGGTGGGTATGAACACAGGGGGAGCTGGTGGGTATGAACACAGGGGAGCTGGTGGGTATGAACACAGGGGAGCTGGAGGGTATGAACACAGGGGAGCTGGTGGGTATGAACACAGGGGAGCTGGTGGGTATGAACACAGGGGAGCTGGTGGGTATGAACACAGGGGAGCTGGTGGGTATGAACACAGGGGAGCTGGTGGGTATGAACACAGGGGAGGTGGTGGGTATGAACACAGGGGAGGTGGTGGGTATGAACACAGGGGAAGCTGGTAAACAACAGTAGGCTGTGTGTATGGTAAGGGGTCGTATGTATGGGAGGGCGGGGGGGGGGGGAGTCGTGGGGTGGGTGGGGGCGTGTATATGGGGGTGTGGGCGTGTTCAACAGAGGGGTGGGCGTGTGACTGTGGGCGGGACCAAAGCCAGTAAGCCCAGGTCCAAAGTTTATAATGGGGCCTCATCCTCCAGCGCGGCCACCCGCACACTGCGCCTCAACACCCATTCTTCCCGCCACAATTTCGGCTATCAGTGACGATTCAATTTGTCTTAACGATGCAGAAACGCCGTTCGTATTTGTTATTGCAGGCC